TATATATATTTTACTCGTTTTAAAGAAAATAACAAGCATCACGTCAATTATTTGTGAAGGGGAAGTGTCCCAATCAAATTTAAAATTGAATTAATTTGACCCCCACCCCCCGACACACACACATTTACCATAAAATGTTAGTTTACCCAGTGATGTTTCTTTTAACACATTCATTCCACTTGATTTGTAGAATACTCGCACAAACTGTTTACTTGTGTAGGTAAAAATCTGTTTAACAACCTGGTAAGATACACCAGAATGCAGGAAATGACATCTACTTCCTTCAAAGTTGGGGCCCCTGCCACTGTGTGCCCCCCAACATTACGAATACTTCTGATGAACACTGAAATATGCAATATTAAAGTGCCTGTGATATACATATTCTTCAAATACAAAAAGACAAAGAAAACATTTATATTTAAAAAAACTTAGTATAAAATACACAATTTTGATGTTGTCACAATTGGCATATTTTCCTTTGAACTTGGCTCAGCCAAAGTGAAACAGGAAGTGACATCAAAGGGGAACTCTCTGGTCTTTATTTGTTGAAGCAATATTATTTGAACTCTCTTCATCTCTCTGATAGTGATTCAAAATAATCTAAAGAATCATCAGATTCTTCTGTGTTGTTAGCTGTTGTAGCGATGCTCTGTTTGCATTCAGACATTCCCCTTTGACATCACTTCCTGTTASTTCACAMGCAAATACCTCATCAACTGTTCATCTCAGTGACATGAAATTTCTTTTGCAATATTTTATCCATGTCATCTTTCCAAAAATGCATTCGTATYTAATACAAAAATTTGARGTCACAGGRACTTTAATGCAAGGGCAATTTATGGGACTCCATGTATGAAGARACAAAACACATAAAAATGGGATAGTTGTGAAAGTGCAGATAGTTTCTCTTGTTTATGGAAATCACAGAATCAGTAATATTATCTGAAAAATTACAAATTAAACATCTGTTGGTAAATCCTTAACTTATGTTATTTTACAAAAGCGTCAAAATTTTGTGTTATGGATTTTAGTTTTGGTGCCACCCCTGGTTCTTCAATGGCCCCTGAAAAACATTTCTGCTAGCGCCACTGTTTATGATTATTTGGTAAAAACATTAACCCCCCCCGCAACAGGTCAGCTGTACAAAGTCAATGTTCCTGTTGTGGTGACCCAAGCTCCAGGCGGGCTGCAGCCTGTCTCCCATCCCACCCAGACGAACGTGTCTGCCTCTCAGCCTGCAGCGGCTCCATCAGAGTCCTCCTCTCTTCCTGCTTCATGTCGACCTCCGAGTCAGGAGAGCAGCTTTTGCCAGATCACTCACGGGCCCCAGGATCCATCGTGGGGCGACGAGCCGACTCCACAGCCAGAGTATGTGAACGTCGATACGACCGCCTCACCCGTCACTCAGTTATTAAACTTTCAGATCAGRGCAGAGGAGGCTCTGACTCGGACGGCGCCGAGCGGAGACATCGACGATATCCTGAAAGAAGTCATCGAGGAGGAGAGGGAGAAAGCTGGCAGGGCGAGGGCTCTATCTGCTGGGAACACACACTATCAGGCTGGAGCTGATCTGGGGGTAAATTGAAAACCAAATTGTCTGATTTATGAAAATGTTTAAAAAATTGTTAAGTCTGAATCCACCTTTTCTGTTTGTTGCACATAACTTTTACATAACTAAGTTTATCTTGCATTTCTTGCTAAGCTGGATTTGGACTACGGCTACCGCGAGCTGTCAGAAATCGTCCAGCTGGATGGTCCTGCAGACAACTCTGACCCTGAGGAGGAGGAGGAGGTTCCTTTGGAAGAGAACGACTTCCTGGGTTTAATCAACGCAGAGGCCATAAAAACGCTGCAGGAAGAGAATGGAAGCAGCGACGGCATTAGCATCTCCTCCAGCAGCGACGACGACGGACCAGACGATCTCGCTGACGTACAAGAAGAGGTCAGAATCTGGTGGAGGGACTTTTAGGCAAGGTTTTGTTCAGTGGGGCACAGGAAACTGCTTTTTTCAACACACACACCACCATAGTGTGATCTATAAGTGAAGAACTGAGATTTTTATAAAATATTTTGTTACACAAACAATATAGAAACCAATGTTTTACATTGCACATTTTTCAATGCTACATACTTGTCAATCAAAAGAGGTGGTACCTGTGGGGGTCAGGTACCAGATGGGATAAYTGCCACTTTGGTTGGGTTCAAACTCGGGGGCTGCGTCCTCCGAAGGCCCAATTTGTCGGCAGCTTACATCACAGCGCTGCGCCGGAGGCTGTCCAAATTTGAAAACTCCTCCGATGCGGACTTCAAATGCYTCCTCCTTTTGCCCTGATTTGAAGGACGGGTCTGATGGCTCCTTCTCATCCCACCATCCCCCATAATGCATTGTGGTATGTCCAGAGATTGTTTCCCTGCTATGTGACAGGACGTACGCCAGGCTAAGGATGGGAGGCTATACKGTCTAAATTCGCAGCCACCTTTTTTCCGGTCTTCATGGTCGACCAAGGGCTTGGCCCACCTAGATGGGTAGGCCGGGTCCATCCGKGGATCCACCTCTGCATTTGGCCACATTTTCTTTACTTGTATTTGCCCCGGTCTAGGTGGTCCAGATCCTTCAAAAAGACCCAGCCTCTGCATTTGGACACAGTCCTTGTCTACCTCTCTAGCTCCGCCTCTGATCAGTGTGATCCTGATGTAAATTTTAAAGCCGTGTTTCGCGCTTTGACTGACAGAAACAAATTAATTACCCTCCACAAATGAGACATTTTGACTTGTTTTKTTTGTATGTTTTTAACTTACTAGGATCCTCTGAATTCTGGCGACGACGTGGTTGAGCAGGACACTCCGGATCTCTTCGACACTGAGAACGTCATCGTTTGTCAGTATGACAAAGTAAGAACATCTCTTTATGGGTAGCAGGACATTTACACCCCCACCCCCCACACACAAACAATTAGTACTGTCAATCAGGAGTTCAGCTCCGATATTAGTGGGCAGTTTGTAAAGGTTTACAGTGGCTTTTTTTAAAATCAGGATTTTTGTTATTGCTCAGGAAAGGGCTGTCATAATTTTATTTAGGATTAAATTTTGTACAGTTCATTCAAATGATACACTGATYAGATTAAGRACTTAATCCCAGATGTGATGGGTCATATTTCAATATAAATTTGRGAGGGGTAATTGTCCTGCAGGGGTGTAAGTGTCCTAGAACCCTCTTTATGGACCGTTGCCCATTGAAACATTGCGTGAACATCTTCAAACTGTTCCACCTTATTGCAGATTCATCGCAGCAAAAATCGCTGGAAGTTTCATCTGAAAGACGGGGTGATGAGCTACAGCGGCAGAGACTACGTCTTCTCTAAAGCTGTGGGAGAAGCTGAGTGGTAATGAGGAACAAAACGTTTCTGAATAGATGTTTTCAGAAAGGAAAACCAAGGGAAAAAAACATAAATCTGGACATTTATGGGCAGAAATTAAAAAAATATATAAATATTTTTGTGAATATGTAGATATCAAGGCAAGACTGATTCAGTTATGTTGAATGCAAATGAGTTTGCTCCAGTTTAATGAGAAACGAGATGGATTTGATTTGAATCTAGTGTTTGTAAATGCCTTGTAGTCATTTTGTTTTTGTCTTTCAGTACAAAGAGCTGCACTTGAAATGCACATTCCTGATTTCTTGAATACTTTGTTTTGAAGGAACACTTAATTTGACAACTAGTTTTGTCAGCTACTAAAATTAATTAGAAAACAGACATTTTGATTGAATCAAATCAGCTGCAAAACAAAGTTAATGTTAATTGATGTGAGGAGGAAAAACAGAAATCATCCCCAACACTAAAGGACCTGTCTCACTAACAATTTAGCAAATAACGCCAGCTTATGAAAATCTTTGTCTAAATATTATTTGTTTATTAATTTGATAGCATTACAGTATGTACTTGCTTAAAAGAGGCTTCCAGTTGATTTTTTTTATCTTCAGTGTCTTTACATTTTTCACAAGTTGTCAAATGTTAGTGTGACAGGGCCTAAACTGTTTTATTTTAAAATTTATTTTACCGTTATTCATTCAGGGAAATCCCATTGAGATCACAGATCTCTTTTTCGAGGGCGGCCTGGGTCTGAAGGCAACATATTGTACATCTTTTTGGGTGTGGGGGAAAACGGAGAAAACCCACACAAGCACGAGGTGAAATGCAAACTCCACACAGAGACTCCAGGTCCGGACCYGAGATCGAACCCAGGACCTTCTTGCTGTGAGGTGTCTGTTTATTTAAGAAGGTACAGTGCATATTACAGAACATGCCAGAATTAARCATGAAGGCTAGTTTTCATCTSTAGRCCCTCCTATAGATATAAATACAATGCAAACAAATCAACTAGTTACTTTCACTAAAACATAACTAAAAATATAACAAACAGTATGATTAAAAAACTAAATCATTTAGCACAACAACAACAATTCAAGACAATTACAATAATACAACAATATTGTGCTGCCAACTAAAAATGCACATAAACTTAGTTAGAAACTTTTTGCTGTCTGTTGATAAAATGAGGTTAACTACTGTATGAAAACTATTTTGATAAAACTTTCAGTAAATGGTAGTCAACGTAAGATGATCATTCAGTAGTTTAACTGTGTCTGTGGCCTTGTTTTTCCTACATCGTGGGGACAATTTTCCAGAAAAACCAGCCTCGTGGGGACCAATGCCCGGTCCCCACGGGTCCAAATTCAAATTARGGGTGGGGGGTTATGRTTAGGACCAAGGTTAGGGTTAGWTTTAGGGTCAGGTATGTGACATTAATTGTAGGGTAAATGGTCAGGGTTYGGATATGAAATTTCCAAAAAATAATGGAAGTCAATYCACGGTCCCCACGGGGATACACAAACCAGACCTGTGTGTGTGGACCGAAACAACGCACTGATGACTAAATGACCGCTCCCTTTTAAACATCATTTTATTATTCAATCCAAGACATTTAGCTACATCTTTTATTGGACTCCTGATTAAACAAAGCTGCTGCTTAAATAAAACTTTAAACACATCAGTTTAAACGTCTCCTGCAGAACAAGAACGCCACTAAAATTTCTGTTAAAACATTTAAATCACAATTGATTTACTGCATACAGGTTCACGTCTCTTTATTGACAAAATATAAAGAGAATTAAACATTACATTACATTAAAATCTTTTTAAAAATAAATTTACAAGATTGCTACTTTTTAATAGCGTGTTGATCATACAGTGATCTGATTTTTTAAAAAGGTAACTCACTGGAGTGAAGGCCAGTCTACAAAATTTAAGAAACAAAAGCACAAGTTTTGCAAGTTTATTAAATAAATTTAACCAGATTKAACTATGAAAACAAAGACTGAAAATAAGTCAGCAATGGCAACATTTAAAATGCAGTTTTGATACTTTAACCAAGAATAAACTATTATAATGGTTTTGTTTTCATTAACTGCATACCCACATTTCACAACGTGGATATCTATGGGGTTCCATTTGTGCCAGGAAAACCAAAAAGTTCATAAGATTTTCTTATTTTTTTACATTTGATTTCATGCTTTGCAGTGAGTACCTTTCTAAAAATACTCTATTCTTTTATCCCTTCTCCGGACATCTGCTCCTTTTTTCTGCCTGAGGACAAACAGAAATGTGGCTCCAGGCTTCACATGATGGCGTTCTCAGTTTGCAAACTGAACTGGTTGATCTTTTATGTACAACACAAAACATCGAAAACCTCGAGTGCTTCAGTTACAGTGAGTAAATATTGTTTTTTAACTTACACCGACAGTCATGTCGCTCCCTTACTCAGAAAGCAGCCCTTCACCTTGAGGTGGTGGGCGTAAAAGCTGAGCGAGGGGTTTTTCCTGTCGTCCGCCTTGTTGGAGCAGGTCTGCTGCGACGCCAGCGTCTGCGATTGGTAGAAGTCGGAGCCGGCGTAGCGGCAGCGGCCCAGCAGGCGGCACACGTCCTTCCTGAAGGCCCTGGTGAAGATGGTGTACAGGAAAGGYTTGCAGAGGGAGTTGATGGGGTAGAAAAGGATGAGCAGGATCTTCGAGTGGGACACGGTGATGAGGGGCATGCGCAGCGAGGCGGAGATGGCGAAGAAGGAGATCGGCGCCATGCACAGGAAGTCTGTGAAGATGAGCACGGCCATGCGCTTGGCGATCTTCGTGTCGCCGTGGCGGGTGGCYTGCTCCGGGTTGCGGACGCTGAGGTATATGCATATGTAGCAGTAGCACACCACCAGGAAAGCCACCACGTTGGTGATGGGCACGGCCACCACATAAACCTGGGAGCCCAGTGTGTCGATGTCCATGGGCAGGCAGATGCTCACCTTGCTGTAGCTGCTGACGCCCACTAGAGGGAGCAAGGCGACCAGCAGAGAGAAGGCCCAGCCTGACGCCATCATGGCTGCCACGTGACGCATGCGCAGCCTCTTTTGGACGTGCATGGCGTTGGTGATGGTGTGCCAGCGCTCGAGGCTGACGATGGTCAGCGTGTACACAGACAGCTCGCTGGCGAACACGGTGAGGAACCCCGCCGCGCCGCACCCGGGCCCCGTCTGCCAGTAGGTGGCGTGGTTGTAGTACTCGTGGCGGGAGTGGTGGTCCACGGCGGCGATCAGCATCAGGTAGAGCCCCATGCACAGGTCGGCAAAGGCCAGGTTGCACATGAGGAACCGCGAGATGCTCAGCTTGCGGTGGCTGACCAGCAGCACCACGAGGACGGCCAGGTTTCCGAAAACGGCGAAAACCGTGATGATCCAGGAGAGGCAGCGCAGGAAGGCAAAGCCCAGCAGGTCCTCGCAGGGGTTGAAGGCGTCTGGCTTCGGGGTGCACGTGACGAAGGGGCTGTTGAGGCAGTCGAAGTCTGGATACTGAAAGTTGACGTCGTTGATAAGACTCATGCCGTCATCAGTGGGCTCTCTGTAAATACACACATTTAATAAACTTATTAAACTGTAAGAAAACAGAACTGTTTTCATCACGTTTGTTTGCCACACTATTAAAAGCTTCTCCATCTTATCCAAAACACATTGTAAGATCAGACCTAAAGATAAAGGTCTGCAGCTCATTCTGTTTAGAAGTTATTCTAAGTATTGAGATAGAGATACATATATATA